GTAGGTGGAAAATACAGCCCACCAATGGCACGAAAAGCACTCAGTTAAACACAGACAACCCGATTAGTAAGCAGGAAACCAAAGTACTACTGGATTTGCAGCTCTTATAACTAAGAACGTTACAGATGCTCTTATTTACATATCAGTACAGTACTAATAAACTTGGCTCACAGCTGCTGCACTGCATTACAGGATACCAAACAAAAGAAAATACCAAACCTTGGCATGGTTATGTTCCCTGGCAAATGACTCACATGGGTTTTTTTGGAGTCTATTTCCACATAGCAAGCAAACTTAAGAAAGGATTCAGAAATCAGCATCTCTGTTCTCATAAAAGTGGCATTAGTTTCAGGAACAACCTGCACCAATACAAAGAAAACTCTTTCAACTGCAGAGAGCAGAGTTTCATGCAACTGGGTGAGCTGCTCTGCAGTATTTGCAGATAGGCATTCCCCTGGACAGCAGGAAATCCATAATACTCTGCTACACTTTTTGCAAGAACATGTTTAGCTTAAATTAAGCGATCGCATTATACGACATGGGCAAATTGCAAACCTTATCCAGCATTAATTTGATGCATTTCGATGTATTTGAAATATCTAGGTATTGTGGTGTAAAAGAAAGGACTTTTGGATTGAAATCTGATGGCAGCAGTGGGAACGTGGCTTGTCTCATTCAAGAATCACAGAATAATTACGGTTGTAAAAGACATCTAAGGTCACCTAGCACCAATCTGTAAACTGCATCCCTACAGAGACAAAGGTATGCTATGTCCAGTTATCTAGTTTGGAATTTGTTTCATCTAAGGCTTTGCAATACCAATAGAAGATGTAATGGCTAGTGCAGAGCTCAGACTTCACTGATAGATGTCACATGGCCAACAGAGCGTAAGGAGAGACCTTTAAATCTCACTGGAGTACCAAGTCATTTTGCAACTACTCCTGCTATAGTCAAAATGTGTTTAAATCTATATGAAAAGGAAACAACTTCTGCTCTGATAAAAAGCAGACTGTCCTCACTTAAAGGGACAACAGAGATAAGAGATTAAATCTGTAAAGACCCTGGAGGACCCTGAACTGGTCTTTTTGTGAGAGCAGGGCCAAGAAAAGCTTTTTTGATTGACTCTTTTTGTTGTTGTTACAGATGTAAGGAGGAGCAGAGAGCCAGGTGAGGCAGGACTGCAGGAAGGAAAGGTGGCCAGGGAGTTGTAGAGTTTGCTGCCATCCCAAAAGCCATTTAACCTAAGCCTGGAAGTAGGGACAGACCTGCAAGAACACTGTGGTAGGGGGAGAGTTAGTTATTTATCTTTTGTATTGCTCTGTCTCACCTAATAGTCTGTTTTAACATATTACTTATTCCAATGAATAATCCAATGGAACCAGGATTTTAAATTCGAGAACTATTTAAGACTTCTGTAAATGGCTTGATTATAGGCTGGTTTCTATAGCAACAGAGATTAGTACATTGATTTAAGAACCAATATATTAGTTTAGTGAAAGAAATTCATGAGTGATAGTTCTAAAACTTTCCTTTTCAACTTTAGTGGGTGAATAGTCTTGCTTTCCTCAATAATCTTGCCCTGGGGCCATAGTAGAATACTTTTGCTTCAGAAGGTGCAAGGACTTCTTTCTTGGGTTCTGCTTATGTTGTTTTAAAAAGTTGTTCACTACAGCTTAATAAGCAATGGAGATTTTCCAAGATGGGGAAAAGCGGCTGAAAGTGAGTCAAAGGCTTCAGTGATGAAGCTGATGGTGGAAAATGGGGAAGAAATAGGTGGGTGCTCGGTCACTCTAGATACTACTGAGCATTCCCAAAGGGACATTAGCACATATCTGAAACCTTGAAAAAGAAGCAATTTGTATGTCAATGTACTTCATCTGTATGTTTGAACTGTAGGACCTGAACTCTGAGAGGGTGTACTTGCTTGTCAATTTGTCTGGTATGTATTGCGAAGAATAAAGGAATGCCGGTATCTAACACCACATTGGACTTAGTTTTCTTCCCACATTTTAGATGGGGCAGGCTCAAAAGTGAGGTCTAAGTGCATCTGATTGATAGGCTTGGACAACTAAGTGGGCCTGTCACAAACCTAGAGGTACAAACTACTAATAAAATTTGGGAGAAGAAACCATATTCATTGGTCTTCCATGATCTTGTATCCCTTATCCTCAGCTAGAACAGTTTCAGGACATTTTCCTCAACAAGCAGTCTTAATATGCTCCATTTACAGCCTCTAACTCATTGGTTTCATTCTGCTGTAAGGAAACGTTTATGATAAAACAAAATGCCAGCAATGTCAGCTCTTCTTTTACACTGAACATTTAAACAGTTCGTGAGTTGTAGTTTTCTGCACATTATAAGTTCAAGATTTACTACTGTTGTAGCCTGTAATATTGTGTGATGTACTTTAGCCAGTTTGATAATGGTAACTAATGACGGTAAAGGTCCGAGTTACATCACAGCAAAAGTCTGCATGCTCAACTCATGAACAGAGATGTGATTTTCAGAATAACGCCAAGTGAATCAAGAGGAAGCAGCAGAGAAAACCTGCAAATCTCTTTATTATGAGTTATGGGGATGGGAAGATTGATGTGATTTAGGTTGGATGTCAGGGGGAAGTTCTTTACTGTGAGAGCAGTGTGGTGCTGAAACAGCTGCCCAGAGAGGCTGTGGATGCCCCATCCATCCCTGGAGGTGTTCAAGGCCAGGTTGTATGGGGCCCTGGGCAGCCTGGTCTGGTATTAAATGTGGAGGTTGGTGGCCCTGCATGTGACGGGGGTGTTAGAGATTCATGATCCTTGAGGTCCCTTCCAACCCTGGCCATTCTGAGATTATTTTACACGCTCTTTATGTGCAGTGCTTAACAGCACTGTCAGAATTAACTGCAATTTTCAGGTGTTTAAAAAACACTTGCAGTCACTTCAGTAGTAAGGTGAAATAACAGAGTAGAGAATGCCCACAGCACATGCGCTCTGGTACAAATGTTATCTGTGCATCCAATGCAGGCAGTTGTATACTTATCCATCCATTTGGACATAAATCTATGTTCACAACTACTTGAAGCTCAATTGCATGTGGATGGCACAAAGAATTTGAGGGATGCACTGTTATCCCAAGCTCTTCATTTCTTTGACATTTATGGGCCAAATTCACGCATGAAGTCTGCTTGCTTTGCTCCTCTTTCAAGACACAAAGCAATTGTAAACCTTGCTCAACTACTCAGCTAAATTGGATTTATTGCACCTTTGAATCTCCCCAGCACAGAAAAGCACCCGGAGCTTATCAGTAAGCCTGCCCCTGTGCTGCCCATAAATGTAGCACACGCAAAGATCATCTGCATAGCCTGTACACAGTGCTCCTGCTATCACTCCTCCCTCAGTCTGCCTCTATTAAAATGCTTTTACATTCTCTGGGCAATATTTTACTCATCATACAGACAAAGCCTTTTCTTTCAGTTTTGCTTCATCTGGAAATCTTTCATTTTATGACAAATAACATTTGTGAACCGACAGGCAAGCCCATGCCTAGGTGTACTCAGTAAAATACCCTGGTGTACCACCTGGCAGCTCTTTAAATTATTACAATTATATTACAACTCTCAGCAGAACTACCAGGGGAGGAACTTGCTTTTTCAGAGAGAATCCAATAGTAAAGGCTAAAGCTGGATTGCACCTGTGAACTTCAGATAACATATTTTACTTGGAATTCACTGTTTGCTGCAGTTTAGTCCAGCTGAAAACAGAAGGGGGGAAAAAAAGCTTTGCTACTTAGGAGGGGAGCATTCCATGCCATTTTTCCCTTGCTTTCTTCTACTAGACTCTTCCATGTGCATGCATGCTTACAGTGCAGAGAATTCAAATACATGCTGAGCACTGCAAAAATATCAAGGGCTGAAGCAGTATGCCAGCATCCAGATGTGTTTGCACCAGATCTCAAAGGCACACTGAGAGATGAGCATATATGGGAACTTTCCTTCCTGCCTGTTTGCATCATTACCAATGACAACAAGGCTCAAGCACCATCAATATCTGAGCACAGCCCACCAGTACTCAAAAACTTCCAGCAGCAGCTTTAAGGCATTTTGACGCTATATTATTTCGAGTTTTTTGTAACTTTCTTGAGGACCTTTAAAATGATCATTTTCATTCAACAAACCTTTCTCCTATTTCCTGGGCACATGTTGAGAGAGAGCACTACATAGAACACACCATGCCAGTGAAAACTAGCAGCTGATGCGGGAAGGAGAGTGGCCACATATTACATCAGCCTCTTTAGACAGTGACATTATTAAGGTGTAAATCTTTTTCACTTACGCTACTTCAGTGAGTTTTACAAATCTGTACGACTACTTTTACATATTTCACTATGGAGCACTAACTGCCCAGCACTGTTCAGTATCTAGCTCTTAGGAAGTACTTGCACAGGCCAAGAGTCTCCCCCACTTAAAAAAAAATGACACTACTTAAAACAACAACAGCTTCTACTGCTTGACAACAAGCATTTAAAAAAGAAGTAAGAATTGGCTCTGGGATGCAATGTTTATCCTCAGCAGCTGGAAGGTGAGGACTGGAACAATAACTCAGAACAGATCAAGTCCTTATTCTTTAGTCGAGAGCTTTACTGTCAGCCCAGAGGAGTGCCAACAACTTTGTTGCTTATATATTCAGACAAAGAAATACAAAAGAGGCAAGAGTAGAAAGGAACAAGGTGAGTCAACAGCAGAGAGATCTCACAGTCTCAAGTAACGGTCCTTGAAAAGATCCACTTTCAAGAGCTTGAACAGAAAAGCACTCAAGTAATTTTTGTTTTAACTTCTTTAAGGTTTCCACACATCTTCGAGCATAGCACAGAGGTATAAAAGCTAGGCTACATGATAAATGAAGAAGAGTATAAATGCAAAGAGGTATAGAAGCTTGGCTACATGATAAATGAAGAAAACTTGTAAGAAGCTTGATCAGCCTTTCCAGTCATTACAGAAATACCCGAGAGTATAACCAGACACCTGTCTGGAAATGATACCCTGATGAGTCACTCACCATGCAAAATATTAGGCACGTGTACAGCTTTGCAACAATACTGGCACTACAAGTAAAAATGTCCTTGCCAAGTAAGAGGTTCGCTCTCTCTGCACATCTCCTCATCACCTAGAGAGGAAGATGGCAGTTAATAGCACTGAATAATCATTTAAACCACTGGTGAATGCTTTTGTTTACAGCTTTATGATGCACAGCTTTTGTAGAGTCGAAATATGTAGTACTTCATTTAACACCATTAGATCCCGAACATCTGTATGAGCTTTTAACTGTCCAATATATTATGCTCCAAAATACGAGATGTTTTGGTTTAGTGACTCTTTCTAGACACCAAATAACTCATCTTACCAGCTCTGTTGCCCCAGCCAGCCAGAGAACACAGCTCCCTCCAGATCACTCCATGTAGCTCCATTTCACCATTTTCATATAATGCGTTCTCCAGTTAAAAAGATGCCTTCCAGTGATGAGTAGATTGCATCAAGTCAATACCCGTGAAGAAGAAAAATGAGATTTCCTGCAGGAAAAACTATTTTTTGCTACTTCTTTAGAAAAATTAATGCTAAGAAAGGCAGAGAAGGAAGAAGAAAGTCATGACATTTTTGGACCCACTTCAAATTTGGAAAGAGTGTAACAACATAACACATTTGTTTAAGGCTTGCTCTAGATCATTTATATAGCCTCCTCAGTAACTCTCACCTCAGGTAAAATAAATACTTACAGCACACATTGGCATATATACCTTCTAGATATATATCAGCCATTATATTAACATAAAGCAAATTTTATTTCATTACTTAATGCATTAAAATGCAATATTTTCTGACAGAAAAAAAAAAAAAAAGCTCAGCCTTTGCTTTGGTACTCTGCAGTTGTGTTCAGAATGAACACTATAATTGCCAAAGAATGCTTATATATATCTAGGGACAGGCATCATTTTTGCAGACATCAATTCATTGAATTCATTGCAGATCAGGTCGAGCCAGCTGCAGAGTGTAAGACGAGACTCATCTATCCTCAGCAGACTGAGGAATACCTTCAGGAACAGAAGGGACTTGTAATAGCATTCAGCACAAGCCATGTGTTTAGAATCAGCTGCTATCATACACCTCTGTAATGGGATCGGTACCCTCCTATTGTCACACACACTGAAGCATTAAGTGATCAAGCCAATTGTTTTTCTTGCTTTACATCATCCCATACTTCATACATTTGCTTTTTGCAACAATTGCTTGGAGAATATAATCTGTACTCTGTGCAAAACCACATCTTCCCAAATGTTCTTCCATTCTGTTCTATCACCTTCAGCTTTATTTCTCGTTCGTCCAACAGCCTCAACCACATAATCAGTACCCATTTCTTAAATCCTTGAAGTAATTCATGTATATTGATTCATCACCTCTCAGCCTTTTCTCAGAAATTATTCTAAGCTTGTATGTGCATCAGTGTTTCTGCATCTTCCTTCTATATGCCACATAAGCTTTCCTAAGTCAGAAATCAACATTGTGTATTTCTAATAAAAAATTTAAAAGTCAACATTTTCAGAGACTCTTTACCAGTGCTTAAGAACTGGAGTCAAAGCAAACCTTAGATACACTGCCACATTTATCTTTATCATTCAAAGCTATATATGTATTGTCCTCCACCTGAGGCTTATTAGTGCCTGTACCCACAGACTTAATATTCACCATATGCATTTCATAAAGTTTTTCTAATAACCAAAGAGAATTCAGCTCAAACAGTTTTATGTTAAGGGTATAATGAGAACCTAATGTCCATTCTTTTCAACAGTATGAATCTTTAAAATGTGAATTTCTGCAAATACACACATTTGACAATATCAACATCTATATCTAATCTTAGTAAGCCATTACAGACATGGGCACCACATCAGATGAAAAAACCCTATTGGTACCACAATGTACTTTCACATAACTAACAAATAAAAGCTACTTCCACACACAGCTGTAATTTATGTAAGTGCTGCAATTAAAACACAATCTTTTTCATTTGCAATGACTTGGCAGCATATATGCTATATGCCACATAGATGTCACATTATGAGAACACTGCATTAAAAAAAAAAGGTTTTTTTGGTTGTTTTTTGTTTGTTTGTTTGTTGTTTTTTTTTTTTTAAGATTCCAAAACTTTCCAGAAAGAATGGAACAGTTTCTGCATCTGCCCATCAAGGTTAGGTAAGCAGACGCGTGGCGTCTGGCCAGGCTTCAGGATATGTGCTTTTCCTCCCCAGCCTGCAAATGGCCCTTCTCTGAAGACCTGGCCTGAGTGGTGTCCTGTTCCAAACCTACCACTGACGCAATGTTGATACCAAAAATGAAAAACACCTAAGATTACGTTACTCATTCTTCATGTTTGTCATTCTAAATTCAGGCAGTTCCTCACAGATGGTTCGTGATCATATACATATCAGATACCTGAACATCTAAAATGAGTTCAATACAAATCCCATGTGCTGACCCCAAAGTAACAGCAAAACCCTGGCCAATGGATTTCTGAATACACGGGAAATTTGTTTTTCCACAATAAGCACCTCAGTAAATAATTCTAGAACATGGTTGTCTCTGACATTCGACCTATTATCTTCAGTTTGTTTTCTGCAGCAAGAGGAACAGGTTTCCATTTCTGCAATTCTCACTTGATTCAAGCAGCTCCCCTGAAGTCACAGTGGTGCTTCTAGAATGCATCACGGCTGCACAGTTATACCATGAGGCTTTGAACAACTGTGGAAAGGGGCAGGAAAATTGAGAGCTCAACAGAAACAAAGATATACATTTTTCAGCAGGAGAACAGAGGGATGTGTAAAACGCAGAAGTATTATGGTCAATCTAATACTGTACTACAACTTCTTCACATTGATTTGTAACATTCTGAGTTCAGCCAAAGAGCTGAATACTCAATTTTTCTGCAGTGTTTTAGCTGATGACATTTTCTTTATTGAAACTGGGCACGTCCTCCTTTATCTTCTCTAAACCCTTTTTTAACACTCTCCATTTCTATAGCAGATACACCATCCTTTTTTTGATCACAAGACAGCAGCCCTGCTGACTGCCATCGATGGCCTCAGCTCCTGTTCCCCTCACTCAAAAGCAAAAGGCATACTTTTCAGGCAACTGTATCACCTTTTCCACTCAAAGCAGGGATAAAAATGTGCAGTTCCATTTCCAGTGTCGTGATGGGCACAAACACCTCAAGAATGAGGCTGCATCTAGGATATACACGTGCTTTAATTTAATTAACAAGAAACGTCAGTGATTTTAATCGCTAAGCATCTCATGTCCCTCATCAGCAAAAAGGTCACACCAGCTCTGAGCCTCTTCTCCTATTATTCCTTTCGTCTCAAACCTGAACCCCAGTTTTTTGGGAAATACAAACAAAAGATAAAGTTACTTTAGCTTTCTGAATACAAGAGGTGATTCAGAGCACCAAGACACTGTAATTGCATCTGCTACCATTGCATTTTTCTTCTTCAAAGATGTTTTCAGCGTTTCTTGATGGCACATTTTATTGACCAACATAGAAACATCCTGAAATACATTTCCATCTCCCTCATATTGATCTAAGTCAAGCCTAGCAATCATTTAAAATCTAGCACTTTACTGTTTGCCAGAACAGCCTGAAACACGCGAGGAAAAAAAAAATGGTTCTGTGCACAGGCAAGCACATCACAAGCACTTGACAAACCCCGAAGCAATAGGGCAGACCATTTTTCTCCAAACTCAATAGGAAGTCTCTTCTCCAAAGCACTGGACCTCTGCAATCTGTCAAAGCCCATAGATGAGAGAAAGGCTGGAAAACGTGCCTTACATTTTGCAGGTGAAGAGATCAATGTATTTGCTTTATCAAATAAAGGGTTTGTGGTGGCATGATCACAGCATCTTTTGTCTACCAGAAATTGGCAACAGGTCCAGCTTCCAGAAGGGTGCATGGTGCACGACAGCTCTACAAACCAAACCTGGAAATGAAGGCCAGTTTTGGAACAGAAGGGCGGTTGCCAACTGCAACACGGTGCCTCATGGCACAGAGCTGTCTCCAGAACTGAGCCTGCCTCCAAAAAAATGATAGAATCATGGAATCACAGAATCCCTAGAGTTGGAAGGGACCTCTGAAGGCCATCTAGTCCAATTCCCCTGCAATAAACAGGAGCACCACAGCTAGGTAAGGCTGTCCAGGACCTGATCCAGCCTCACCTTGTTGCGTTAGAGGCTTTCACACTTTCAGTTCACAGGGCCCTGACCAGCTTCCAGAAGAAGGTATAAATCTCCCAGTAGCTGATTGCAGGTTGCCTACATCTGACGATTCAAATACATTTATTGCTGTTATTGTTACCTTCTTTTAATAACTGGATGTACTGTTAGACCTCAGAGGAATGTTGACAGATGACTAGAGAAAACAACATAGATCTTTTTCAGCAGCAGTTGATTCAGACAAAGCTTACATGATGTAGGTGCCAACACTATCAGGCCTCATCATATTTTCCCAGTCCTCCACAATATTCATTTGTGTCCCTTGGCTAGCTATGCTGTATCACAAAAGCAGTATAATTCTGCATCAGGAGGACCTGACGGAAAGAGCAAGATGAAAATGTCATCTGCATAAACAAATTCGATAGCTCCATTGGAGATTGCAGTGATGACTGAAGACAAACTTAGCTCTAGCCACATTTAAAAGGTTTATTGTTCAGACCAGAACAGGACGAGCTGTCAAAAATCCCTTTCTAGAAGAGTTAAGGAGGAAAATATCTGGGAGGAGAATAGTGCAGCGAAGACACAGCAGAGCACAGATTGCTAGCAGAAGGCCTCAGATTTGCAAGAGGTAATACTCAATAAAATGAGCTACTTGCATATTTTTACTCTTATGCAAATACATCTCCCTGCTTGATTTGTACCTTGTATATAACTCTCCCACTCTTGCTTTTACTGAATCATAAAGAATACACCAGGGAAAGATCAGGCATTAGCATTTCTGTCATTCTAATAAGTGAAGCCACAAAGAAGCAAGTCTTGCATGTTAATCATTTTTGAAGCCTTGTAATTGTTTTCCAGTGAAGGCTGATGATGGTATGATAGATCTCTAAAGACATATATTCAGTAAAATGAATTTTTTTTATGTTGTCTTATATATGTATAAACTATAAGCCTGAGGAACAACCACATACTCTAATAGCTACTTTCCACAATGAAGTCCTACGCATGAAATATGTAGTACACAAAGCTCTTTACATCAAATAAGTACATTCAAAGTTACGTGTTAAAGGGCAAATGTCTCTTCTTCCTTAAGACCTACCAAACAAACAAATTTATTAAAAGATCAGTCCATGATAAGAAGACAGTGTTTGCTCATCTATTGCATGGAGTAGCAACAACGATTATCATAATATTTTAATGCTACTTTAGTTGATGAATGACATTGCTTTAATTGCTTAAGACACAAACTGCTATTAGATCGGTTTTGTGAAGTCAGGCTCACCTAATACTTCGCAAATTTCAACACAGCAAC